GGAAAATGTGAGAATACATATATAGCACAGCTAGAAAACCTAAGAATAAGTCAAAGAATACTGTCATGACCCCACTTACGTCTTCACCTATGCTGTTTAAACAACACACTTCCTTATTTCTCTTAGGCCAAGTCCACCTTAAAAGTATATCAAATTAATACAGAGAGACTCAAGACATCTGTTCAAGATGCAGTAGATGAAAACTGCCGTCTCCAGGAAAGTGAGAAACAGGTAGGTTCTTCCTAGTTATCTTTAGAAATACTATATTTTCTTATGATATTATGTAAATATGATTTCTCCAAGGATCTCATCGTCAAGGTGTTTGTTAATACCCCTTGTGTATTCTAGTAAATGGAATGAGGAAGAGGACATGGCTTTAAAATGATTTTGTGTTGGAATAACTTTGTCTAAGGTAGTCCTGTTTTGAAAGAAATTTAAGAATTGGAGTTTGTGGGGAAACATGCATAGAGTTCAGTGAGAAAAAAGAGTGTATGGTAGTGTAAGGCTAATAACAGTTTTGCTGAGACCTGGAGGAAAGCAGAAAGATTTGAGCAAGTCCACAGCTAGGATCCTCTACTTGATCCAGAAAACAAAAGAAATCAAGAAATGGTAGAGTATGCAAAAAGCAGGTAAAAAACTTATTGTAGTACCATTATGGATGAATTAATGGAAAGTCAGGTAAGTAATACAAAGGACACAAAAGACTGTTACTTCCCAAATTTTAGCTGTTTTTTTTCCTCAGTACCATAGCCAGACCCCAAAGAATGCTGGTTATTTTAAATTGTTCAGCATATGCCATAGTTGTCCTGTGCAATAACTGGTTTTACAATGAAATTATTCTGTTGTTGTTTTTTTTTTTTTAACAAAAAGATACTCTGTCCGAACATTAAATGTTCCATGGAATGTTTTTGGTTTTGAGGGAATTTGGGTTTTGTTTGGTTTTTTTAATGGATACATTATTATTTTCCTGACTGACTGATGGTGTCCTTGTTGTCTGAACAGTAACCTGATAAGATATCTTGCAGCGGGCAGGAGTAGAAGTACAGGCCTGCTGGTTTTTAGCAGTCTTATAAAAAGCTGGGAAGTGCTTTAGTCCTCTCTATCAAAACATTGTGCATGAACCAGACTTAACTGATCCAGGAAAAAAAAAAAAAGGTACTGGAAATAGAAGATTTTCTGCAGTAGGAATATTTCAGTTCTCCACAACTCTGTTGTCAGTAAAACTTCGTGTTTTTCTCTAGTTTTAGAAGGAGTACATGTTTGTGTCCTGGTTTGGCTGGGATAGAATCACAGGCCAGCCATGCTAGGCAGGCCGTTAGCAGTTTTGAGTCAGCCAGGTTGAGTGTTAGCTACAGGTGTAGCCCATACCATCATGTCATGGTCATTATAGAGGGCGAAGGTTTGCTGAAGAGAGGGAGCTCCTGTGGGGTTCCTGCTGGGATTTCTCCTCTTCCTGCTGCTCCTCTGGTATCTCCCTGCTCCTGAGGCCTGCTCTCCTGTCTGTTGTGACAACTGCCTGTTCATTTGGCTAAGTATAGCTTTGTATGCCTTTGTTGGTATTAATGCTGTTCGTTAAATCTATTTTCGCTTCAGCCCATGGGTCTCCTCTCCTTTTCCCAGTTCTCCTTCCTGGCTGGTGAAGGGTCAGTGGGTGACAGAGCCACTGCTATAGTTTAGCCCTGGATACAGGCTAAGTGCAGCCAGTTTGTGACTACAAAAAAAGGGAAGACAATTTTATTAGATGCTGTGAGTGGAGAAATAGTAGATTAGTTAGCACTGTGAGGAGAAGTTGCTTGAGAATTACTTTTATGAAAGAGTCTCTTTTTTTTGGTCTAATCTATACTTCCTTTTTGTCTGTTCCTGTGAGGAGGAAGGGTCTGGTCTTGGTGCTGTATTTCAAATGTGACAGTATACTTACGTAATAAATTTTGAGAAGCAGTGCACAAAGTTCTAACAGAGAGGGTTTTTTTGTTTGTGTTTGTTTTTTTTCTTTGGGTTCAAACAGAAGTAATCCGACTATTTGTGTGTGTATGAAAAGAGCCTTCTTTTTCTTTCCTTTTATGAAAAAATAATACTTAGAGTAAGATAATACTAACTGCTGACAATTACGTTTACGTTTTGTAGGCAACCATTTTCTATCAAGCAAAACCAGGAAAAAAAAAAATGAGTAAAAACAACTCCCAGGATGTAATTAACTTGCCAGGTTCCTAGATAAAAATAAGGTTTTTTGCATTCCTTTGAGATAAAATAACCTAGGTATAGTATTTCCTTAACCACGTTATTTAGGGTGAATTACTACATTTTGTTGTTAACTGAGCTTTGTTGCAGCTTTTAGAAATTTGAGGACATTTTTGTATATTGTATTTTGCTGTGCTTTTTAGTAGATAAATAACCTGATCAACCTGATCAGAGTTGATGGAACTTATAAGGAAAGAAGATAAAGTATCTGATTTACTTATTTGTCTTCTCTTTTATGAGGTTGTCGTAAGCCTGTGAGTTTGCTGTTATTAGAATATCCGTACCCCGTTTTTATTTTTCTTTCTTATTTTTTTTTTAAGATGGAATTTCACTTATGCTCAAAAGGTAACAAAGGTGTTACTTGTTCACAGAAACTAGAGTACTTTCTTCCTCTGTCCATTTGCACTAATGGGTCGTAATCTTCTGGCACATCATAGCTTAAACGTTATAACGGATGTGCTGTCTCAGATTTATGATGTGTCAGAGAGAGGATTGGGCCTTTTAGTTTGAACAAGGGAACTGTTACTGAACTCCAAACTTTCTGTGGTTTGTTTTTTTGCAGGAACATTAGAAGTATCTATTACTTTAGCTTATTGCAAATCCTTGCTATTTGTCTTTATTTTAATTCTTACAGGTATATAAAGTCATGTCAATTTATTTTCTCTTTGGCTTCATGAAGAAGGAATCTCTTAAACTTTAGCTTGCCTTTGAGGATGACAATTAATGATGAAAGTACTTACCTGTGTATGGCTTCTGAGCAGTATTAGCATAAAGAGTATTTTTGTTTTATCTGTAATACTTAGTTTGCATGATGCTGCAAATTCATACCTGGCTTTTACTGCTTGAAAGGTGCAGTCGTGTGCCAAGTGGGGTTCATCCAATTCTAGTCACATACCTTTTTGTTTTATGCCTTCTAGTTTATCTTTCATAAATAGTGTTCAGTCTTGCTTGTCTATTTGCATGGCAGTTCCCCTGTTTAACTACCATTTTCTGGTTTTATTTTTAGTATAACTGGCTGTTATGTTCTTGTTGCTCAACCTAGTTATTCCTTTCTGTACATTCACTGCTTTTAAATTGGTTGCCTGTTACGCAACTTTAAGTGATGTTCCTTTGTCAGACATTTAAGATAATAATCTTTTTTGTACTGTACCCCATGTTTTTGTACTGCGTGTTCTGTCTTAACGGAAATTTGCATCAGTTCCATTTTGTTCTCACAATACGAAGGCATGGTTTAATTAGTTAATATGTTGCAGTGGTTATTTTAATGAACTGTGCTTAAGTGTACTGGTCCCTTTACTGCTGTAGAGTATTTTTGTGAAATGGGATTTTACTAGGGGATGTCCGTAAGATGTAACCTTGGAATCTCGCCTGTCTCTTTAGTTAAGCACAGTTAACTTACAAAGATACATACTAGTGGGTCTTGTTTACGTATTGTTGGTGTGACTTTCATTAACAGGGAAGCTTTTTAAAAACAAAATTAAAAAATTACTTTAAGTGGTATGGAGGAGAGGAGGAGAAAGAATATAGTTTTGCAAGTCACATGAATTGAAATAGCTGTCTAAAAAGCTTCCTGGTTTCCCTTACCTCGCCAGCCTCTTCTAGGTTAAACAGACACAGGTACAATTTCAGAAGCATGTGTGTATGTTGGGGAATGGACGTTCTCCTCTCCATCCTCCCCAGTGTTTGTAGCTGTTACTCAAATTCTCACTATTTTGTATCTATTGCTATTGTCACATCAGGGTTTTTAAACCAAGTGAAATATTAACTGAACCGTTCTTACAGATGTTTAAAAATATCCTGATACCTATTTACAATAGAGAGCTGTTGCAACTAAAGCAACTGGACAATAACATAAAGTCTTATTTTTCAACTCTTGACGTTTAACTGTCTTGTATCTATCTCTGTTAATTCTTACTGATGGGCGAGAGGTTAAAATTCTGCTTATGTATAGATAGTATACGTAACAGGCTCAGATACTATTCATCCTTGATTCTTGGTTGTAGCAAACAATCACACTGATCTGGTTTTTCCTTTTTTAGCTTTTACAAGAAGCTGAAGGATGGGGTGAACGATTTAGTGAACTAAATGAACAAACTAAGATGTTTGAATCGTCTAAAGCAGATATAGAAGAAGTATTGAAAAATAAAGAGAGTCAAGTCAAGGTAAAGTATGACTGACAGCTAGCATTGAATCAAATTACTCAGACTGATGCTAATCCCCGAGTTCCAAGAAAGTCTAACAACCTCTCCTTGTCTTAATATGCCTTGAGCTGGTTTGGGTTTTTAGTTTGTCTCCATCCTCTAATGACTTGTTTCCTGCTAAGCAAAACAGGCTGCTTAGCAGCACAACGGAGCAGTGCGATAGCCTTGGAAGCCAGCACTTAAATAAGGAAAAACTTTAAAACTTTTTCAGTTCTGACAGAGTATTTGCTTTTTTTTTTTTGATTTGGAGTGTGGGAGTTGGGAGTGTGTCCTTACGTGTCTGCACCGTATATACACAAGCCCTGCTAAAAGCATGCTTGCTTGGCTGTCTGAAAAGCCTTCACAAAGGCACACCTGTTGACCTGCAGGTATATGTTTTAATAGTAAAAGTAATATCAAGAGATCTAGAATCCTGTATATGGGGCTTCCTTAATCTACTAAGGGAACTAAATAAAGGACAGAAATCCTCAAAAAGTAATTGTAATAGTAACTACATTTTCATTGCTTGTATTTATTTTACTGTTGGTGTTTTGTGGCGGCTTTTTCTTAGTCACTGACACAATACTTGCTGAAGATGAAAGACTGGAGTTCAGCAATAAGAGAAGATGATAATGCTGAAGATGATCACTGGGACAGAGATATAAAGGGTGAAACAGAGAATGGAGAGCACTTAGGTATGGTTTGTATGTCTTCCCATCTTAAATACTAATTTAATAGATGTTTTAGAAATACAGAACCGACAAACTTCCAGGAAAGTTGAAAGATGAGCTTTGTACAAGCTGGGTTTTCAAGACTCCCCAAATGTTACTCATGTCAGACAGTTAACTGATGCTTGGACACTGCTGGAATAACAACCTATGCTACTGTTTAGCGGTGTGTGGATATAGCTGAAGCATACATTTTATCATAGATGTAAAGACTCAGTGCTCAGTCCCTTCCAGAAAGACTTCAGCCTATGTTAGGATTCAGCAGTGATTCTCAAACATTTTTAGGTGGAAGCCTTGCTTTCTTGAAGCTCCTCCCATCAGTAGCTCTGTGGGTCCTTAGAGCCTAATTTCTGCTTCCTTGTCCTTGCGCAGGTGTTACTTGTTGCAGGCAGTATGGTAGCACTGGAATCAGATGGGTCTAGATGTGAGTCCCCTCAAAACAACAGCACAGAAGAGCATTTCTTCCTCTTTTTTCTTGCTGCAGCTTCTTTTTGTGCTGGTGCCGATTATACCATAGGGCACACCCCAGTAAATCTTACAGGGTGTATTCAGCATCTCACTTTTAACATGAGCATTCTGAGTCTGACTGACAAACAAAGCACTAGAATACAGCACGCCCCACCCACTTTTTTTCTTTTTCCTCAAACTATGCCAATCATGGAATGTTGGGGATTGCTTTTTTATAAAACCAAAATAATAGTAGTAAGCTCTGTCACAACCCTTTTTGTGCATTTTATGTGATTTATTATTCTATTCTGTCAATCAGATGATCAGCAAAAACGAACTGTAAAGAAATTGATCTATGCTGCAAAGGTATGTGTTTTTAAGAAACTTGTGGATGGAAGGGGGGAACTAGAGGGAATATATGCAATTTTTATGGTAAGTTTAATTGCATATATATATCCGAATCACAGAGTTCAGCATCTTTTAATGTTTCGTTAGATGTTTTTGAATGCAAACAGTTTCTGGTAATCTTAAAATGCTAATTTTTAAAAATTTTGTTTGTAGTTAAATGCTTGTTTAAAGACTCTGGAAACAGAAAGAGATCAAATGTATTCAAAACTGTCTGATGAAAATAAAGCTAAAGGAGAACTTACAGGTAATTAAATGTTGTTTTACCTTCAAGATTGATAAGATGCTGCTTTTGTAAGATAGTGTTACAGGCTGTAAGTATTACTTCCACTAAAAACTGAATTAAGTTTACATTAATATGTCTACTTGATTTTTAAAATGCCTGTTTAAGTTGCTTAGCTATTTTAAATGGAGGTAAAGCAGTCGAAGTTGCTAAAGCACCATTTGCAAATTTTGTTGTACTCTGTTGGAGTATAGTATTCTATAACTGTTAAGTTACAGAATCTTAAAATACATGGGCAATGTGATGTTAATAAATATGTAATACCTTCTTTATGTAATTTCTGGGCATGAAGCAATGGAGTTTTAATCTAAATTTTAAAACCATCTATTAAAAATGGTAGCTTAATTGTAATTAGTTTGTAATGCGTGCAAGCTAAACACTTCTTAAAATCGAAAATGCTTTCAGGTTTAATTCTCTAAATGCAGTATCTTGCTGTGGTTTTTTCCTTCGTTTTATAGGACATGTTGAAATTAACCTTATGACATGAAAACACTGCCACTTGAATTCAAATTAAAGCCTGTAATTAGCTATTGCTTTCGTAGATAACAGCCGGTAGAGTAGCCATCTCATTTGAATGTACCGTGCTTTGTCATTTGGCTGATGAAATGCTCTGTAAAACTGTATTTTTCGGTTTTCGATAGTCTTTTAAAACGATTCTTTGTGCTAGTGTGTGTTCCAAATTGGTTTTAACAGTGTCCCCTAAAGAGATTCAAACTTACTTGAGGCTTTCTATGTTTCTTGAAGAGAGGCAAAGGGTAGTAAATAGGAAACGAAGCATGACTGATTTCGATTTGGAAAGGTAAGGTAGTTTGACAAATCTGAGTTATCCCTTCAGGCTGCTCAGCCAGACCTCGTCTGGGTGAATCTGCAAGAGTGTATGATGGTACTGATTTTACTCCTTCAGTAGAAAAATTGCAGTAATAAGAGCCCTAAATGAAAATTTACATTGTGAATTACAAAACTGTTGTTTTCAAAGAAGCTATACAATTTGGAGCAAAGGCTAGATGCAAGCTGAGAGCTGCACATTGTGGGAGGTGGAGAATGTAGTTACTGGTTTCCCATCAAAAGAAGCAATATTGCTTCTCGATTTGGATAATTAGTTGAAATATATTAACATATTATTGTTTATGATTAAATGAACTAGGATCAAAGAGGTCTTTTTATACTAACAGACATTTTTATACTAAAATATTGCAAATATTTTAATTTTGTAAATTGTGCGTTGTCTCAATATAGTTATCTCTAAATTTGACAGAGCGTATAGAAAACCTTCACAGTCAACAAGCTGCCTTGCAGTCTGAAAATGAACGTTTTGAAAGTGAAGTTCAAAAGCTTCAGCAGAAACTTAAAGTAATGACTGAGCTTTATCAAGAAAATGAAATGAAACTACACAGGTGCTGGTTCCTCTTTTTATATTCAATGCTTACTATTTGATTTGAATGTACCTTTTTGATTTGGAGGGCTGAAAATTATTGAAAATTTGAATACTGCTTTCCAGAGTTTTCTGAGTTGTGAAGACCCTGTTACATTACACCTTCTTGTATCTTTGTGATCACAGTAATTTTATAGAAATTGTTTCCATGAAAGTAGTGGTGTATTATTTTAGGACTTTTCCACAAGCATGTACAGAAACAAAGATAAAGTGAGAAGTACCAAATTTGTAACCTATGAAATAAGGTGGGGACAGTTGGAAAGCTTGGGTTTTTTCTTTCTTTTTTTTTTTTAGTGATTTCAGATATGATGTAATACAGCTATCAAAGTTGCTGAAAGAAAGATAATCAGCTGCTTTAACTATGAGGTATACTTTTATATGGTAAAGAGAGCTAGTAATGTCAGCAGAGGAGCGATGCTATATATAAAACTAAGCTTAGAGTTGAAATGTAGGCAAGTTAACTATTACCAGTAAGCAACACCGAACACCTGTGAATCGGGCTTTCTTCACCAAGACAGAGACAATATGAGGGCTGTACTGTCTGCCTCGCAGTCAGGATGACAGTAAGGATTATGACTTACTGATGGAAATCAGGAATGTGTTGAGGACTAGAAATAAAGTTAGTAGGGATGGGATGGGGTGTGTAGTAACCATCAGAAGTGTGCGTGGATGGAGCAGGGAGGCATTGTTTTAGGACATGAAGGTAAAATTATGGTTTTACTAGCCAGAAATTATTCAAGGAGCAGGCATAATCTTGAAGGCAGCAAGAGAAGTGCAGGTCTTGATCCTGTACTGAGCAGTATGCAGGACCTTTTTAAAGTATTACTTTTAATAATTTGCTCTGTAGTGTATGTATTTTATAGATATTTGGTGTCTTTGTAGATGCAACAAAACCTAGAAATCCACTATACTAACGTTTTACTTTTAAAAAGGGTGGGTATGAGCATATTAAAAAGAAGCTATGATGGGTATAGCAGAAAGGAAAAATGTTTGCAGACTGTGTGGATGATATTTAAAAATAGCACACTGAAGTTCAGCAAATGTATGCTGCTTATCAAAGATTTTAAAGAAGCCAAAAAGCAGTGGGGAGAAGCTGGTGTGATGAGATAGCAGAATGAAAGAGGCTATTAGTAACAAGGCATCTTTTAAAAAGATGGGTGTGTTCAAACAAGGGAAATAGAAAAGTGGGAAATAAAGATTGAGTAGAAAAGAAGTTTAAATCGTGTTCAAAAGATCTGTGATTAGGTAGTTTGATTGCTAAGAACTGCTGTTTACAGGAAAATTTACCAGTTTATCCATTCAGGGCTGTATGCAGTAGTAGTATCTCTGTTCTGCAGAATTACCTTGTGCATAATCTGTGGACTGGAATACAGGATTTCTCTTCTGTAGTGCCAAAAAAGGTGTAAAAAAAGAGGGACCTAGGAAACTTTTTTTTATTAACTGTTTTTTAAATAGCTAGTAACAGCCTTTTTCTTCTCCAGAAAATTATTTTAAGATTTAAAAAGTACCAGAACAAATCACCGAAAGTTAGTGTAGTTTGTTTTTTAGTTTGTTTGATTGATTTGTGGCTGCTTCCCTCCCTTGGTAGAAATATTCTTTGGCAATATGGATTGTCTTCCAGATTCCTTTTAAGAATAGTGCTAACCTAATTGTTTTGTATCAACAGTTAATGAACTGAATAAACTAATATGGATACAAATTGGTGCTATTTATGCCGCTTCATATGTTTCCTATAAAACTCTATCTGGAAAAATATGTATTCATCACGCCTAAATAATTGGAGAAGTTTTTCTTGGCAGACCAGCTACAAAATTGTTGACTTGAAACAGAATTAACCATAGTCTTTGAATTTACTTAAAGGAAGCTGACAGTAGAAGAGAGAGAACGCCTACAGAAGGAAGAAAAGCTTTCTAAAGTAGATGAAAAAATTAATCATGCTGCTGAAGAACTAAATAGCTACAGGTAATTACAGATTTTAGTTGCTGTAATCACTTGTTCCAGAGTGAACAAAGGGCAACAGAGAATTAACAAAAACACCAGCATAAGTTAATGTATTTTCTTCCAGTTTCTTTGGTGTGGGTGTGTGTTACATGCTAGTTTGCGTATAATAATACATTCTAAGAGAGTTTTGTGCTTTGTTAAAAAATTTGGGTATGGAAGATCACTAGCAACTTTTCTTCCGTGAGAATGCTAGTTATATTGACGTGTTAGCTTTAATGGAATGGTGGAAGTGGGGCTCTAATCTAGTTGCCTTTACTGAACAGAGATAAAAATACAAAGTTAAGAGAATGCTGTGAAATAAATGCGACATTGAAATAAATGCGATGTTCAGTTTTCCTATAGATCCTGACATATTTATGTGGTATAGTTACAGTATTCTATTTCTGTATCTCTAAGCTGGTCAAATAGTACTATTGTTTAGAAATCCTTTACTAAAATACTGTGATATGGGGATATTTTCTGCAGTTGTTTTTGAACTGCTTTGCTCTGTTTTGTGTTACACCACCTGTGTACCTCTAGTTTGTTTCTGTGGTTTCTCAAACTATGGCACGGTGCTTCAGTCTGTAATGTATATTCCCCATCTTCCTTCAGTGTTTATGGGAGTATTGACTCTAACTGAACTATGCTGGTCAACAGTGCTTCCTGAAGAGTTAAGTAGATCAATGCTTTCTCCAGAGTGTAAAGTTCCTGTAGACTTTCTTCAGTATTCATACAGGAAGACAAAGTTCACCCTTCTTGATTTACTTGGAACGTGAACTTTGTAGACACCTTAATTTTAAAGAGAATTTTAATATTGCAAATGGAGTATAACTAAACCTGCTGAGAGAGTGTAGAACCTAGAGAGGCTGTGCACAGGGCAGCTGGAAGCAAAGGTGACATTATACTTTCTGTGGTCTTGAAATCACTTTACTGCGAGTGACTGTCCCTCAGGACTGACTGTGGTAGCCTGCGACAGCAGGATGCTCCAGCCGCATCGGTACGTTTGCTGAGCTGGGGGAGGCTGGCTGTTAGGCTGTATGTGGAGGGATATCCTTTCTGTTGGAAACGTGTCACAGATCACTGAAACTGGGGAGATGTTGGGGTTTTTGGTTCTGTTCTTTTCTTTACATTCCTGTTTGCACTAATCTGGTGCCTAGAATTTCCACTGCTACTATAATTTTTGTGTTCCGTGGGCCTAAGTGACAAATACTGTCTTTTGGATAAAAAAAAAATTGTAATTATACCTTGTGTTTACTGTATTAAAAGTTACTTTCCTTCCCATTTTATTATGATGTCATAAATGCTAATTTTGTTACAGACAGCGAGCAAAAGATCTTGAAGAAGAGCTAGAAAGAACCATTCGTTCTTACCAGAATCAGGTATGTGCTTTGTGTTACTTACCTCCTGTGCCAAGTAGGAGAGACGTTACTGCAACCAAAATACCACTTTCAGCTAGGTTGTGGTATTGTATTTGGCTTGGTTTCATTGGGTGGTTTTTTGCCCTTTTTTTTTTTTTTTTTTTAAATCCCAATCTTAATGCCATCTGGTTTTGACTGACACAATTTCATAGCAGAGGTCACCAGATTACTTTAATAAAAAGTTAAATTTTGAATTTACATGTCTCATTATAAATTATCCACACACGTTAAATTTAAGAATAAGAGCATATACTCAATCTTAAATTTTCTTCTTCAGATTAATAATGATCTAATGAATCTCTCTTTCACAGATTACTTCACATGAGAAAAAAGCTCATGATAATTGGGTAAGTTCCAAATACTGAATTTTCTGAACTTTGTGCGTATCCTTTCTCTGTGGTTTGAATAGCTTTCTTTATCACTTTTTTGTTTCCTATTAAAAACAGATGATCAAAATTAACCTGTCACCTTTAAACATACAGATTTCTTGCAGAAATACATAAAAGCATGTTAAAAATACTTCTATCATAGTTGGAATAATTAAGCTGGATCCCTATGAGCACAGTAGAATGATATTACGGTATTATTTGCTATAGCAATTAATCTGCTGAAATAACATGTTACCATTTAACAAGCGTGTGACATTTTGCTAATAATAAAACCTTTTGGCCTTGTTTCAATGCCATTTTTATATTTTCCCTGGATGTGCTTCACTCCTTTTTATCTACTGATAGAAGACATTATGTCCTGTGAGAACAGTATGTTCCATTGACAGCTTCCAAACAATGTTGCTACAAAATCCATTTTAACCTTTTTTTCCAAACAGGAAACTTTAAAATATCTCCTGACTAGTACATTCTTCAGTTTCACAGAATGGTGGATATAAGACAGAATCCTGTTAAAAGCTGTGGTGCTTCATGGTCATAATTTTACAGTTTTTAACTATATGGTTTTAAGATAAAACTTTCTTACCTAAAATTTGAGACTTTAAGTCTTGTGAATATTCTGCAGATGCTTCAAAGCAGCTATAGCCCAAGAATTTAATTTCTGAAGTTTCAGCAACCTGCAGGAAAGCCATATCATTCCTGAAAAATTTGGTTAGTAGAGCTGCTAATGTCATTTGGTGAGGCTCTGTTTTATATGCTTTATACACAAGTGAATATATTTTGTGAAAATACAGTCTGCGCATTTCAGATAGGAAAAAAAAAAAAGTCTTGGATTTAGGACCTGTCACATTTAAGAAGTATTTAATTAATAAGTAGCAGTATCTAAGCATCTGATTTTTGTCCCTCCCCAAAGCTGACAGCCCGAGCAGCTGAAAGACACCTCAATGATATAAAAAAAGAAAATGCACATAACAGACAAAAGTAAGTGCAGTCCTGATCTAATTCTAAGCAAATGCAATTTGGCATGCGGGTATGTTTTGCATTTATGCAGTTTGGTGTTCTCTAGACCTATGTTAATCCGTTGTGGCCCAAACAGGGCAGAGAGAGCACAGTGTTCCATTGGAGTTCTAAAAGAAAAGGAATCATTTGAGTGTTCCTGTAATGATAACATGCAAGAAAGTAAGAACTTAAGAACTTCGTAAAGTATTGAAATATTCCAGGAAAGAAGCAGAATGTAATACTAGAACTCAGAGGTTTTGGGGGTTTGGTTTTCGTTTGTTTTAAATAAGTATGTATCAGACAGATGTCATGGTTACCTAATGATTTTTATATTGTTTCGGAAGTTAATACTGAGCTGACAGCTCAGGTGGTGGTGGTTGAATGGAACTTTTAGGTGTGAAGTTAACTAATGCTTGGAATGTAATTTAGAGTACTCAGGAGAGTTAACTCCATGGTAGGAGTTGTGAAACCTAACCTGCCACTTCAACTGCTGAATTACGGTTTAAATACAGCAGCATAGAGAAATACTTTCAGGAATTCTAATCCTCAGAGTTCTGTGACATCTTTTGTCTCCTTCTGTTCAGGGAATAAATAGCTTGCTTTATTAACCCTTTAATTAGAAAGCCTGGCAGTAAACAGTGCAGTCCAGCAAAACTTTGGCACTTCTTGGTTATTTACTACTTTTTTGTTGTTTATTTGCAGATTAACTGAAACAGAATTTAAACTTGACCTTTTAGAAAAAGATCCTTATGCTCTTGATGTTCCAGTTAGACCATTTGGCAGAGGTACAGTATTGAATTGTAAAATAGAGCCTAATTCTTTTGGTTTATGGGTTTGTTTCCCAAGACCACACATATGTAATTGTTCGAAAACTGTCTTGGCCATGTGTATGTACAAGTAACAGTCATTTTAAAAAGTAATTGGGTCATAAGTGACTCTAGGTCATGTTGAGTATTTTGCTGAAACTAAGAGCATTTGTAGTGTCGATAAGAGTAGACTGGGAGTATGATACACATGGTGATTACAGCACCATTTTCATTTCACTTATACAATTTAGTTTCAAACTTCACCTGAGAAGTTAATTACTTTATACAGTTTGCTAAGCTCAATATTGTGAACTTGAGTATTTTGTTTTAACTGTTCCAGAGCATTCCCCATATGGACCCTCACCAATGGGCCGGCCTTCATCTGAAACAAGAGCTTTTCTTTCCCCTCCAACTTTATTGGAGGGTCCTTTAAGGCTTTCACCTATGCTTCCAGGTGGAGGAGGAGGAAGAGGTACAATTCTTAAACTTGAAAATGTATCTATTCTGGATTTCTCTCTCCTCTACTATAAACCTGTCACACCTTTTCCTCTTGCTGGTGACAAAAAGTATTCAACCAACCAATTCAATATAAATGGTTAACTGGACAAACTCTTCCTGTTTTTCAACTTGCTTCTAAAGCCATCTAATGTGTAACAGTACAATGGAAAATTACGTTGTTACTAGTAGGTTGGTCAGTGGATTCACTTTAGAAGCATGGATTGAGAAAAGTGAAAAGCCGAACTTAATCAGTCTTGGCTTATATCTTGGACAAATGGGGTTCTGCTGAAGTAAAACTATGATTTTAAAGTAAAGAAGAGTCAATTAATTTTCTGAAGAAAGAATACTGCGACTTCCATCTCATTGGTCTACAGCCAGTGAGAGGAGGAGAGGGTACCTGCATTGTCAAAAACATGAGACAGTTCTGTTGGGGGTCATGAAACTAGAAAGTTACTGATTCAGTAAAGTGTTTTTCTCCCTTTATTCTAAATTTGAGGCAGTCATTATGAGTGGAGATAGTTTCTTCCCTAGTGATAAACAGGACCAGGAAGTTTGCATGCAGGGAGTAACATTCAGAGATTGAGGAGTAGGGGAAGGCAAGCCGTGGCGTCATGGGTTGTACAGGAAGAAAAACTATTCCTTCGTATTTTGTTGGTGTTGATGGAAGTAGTGTAGATAAATGCTAGAGTGGAGTTCAGCATCTTACAGGTCATAAAGAAGCTACTGTTTAATTTACTACTACTGTTACACCTGTTGAATCCGGTACTTATTTCATGGGAAATATGTCTAAATGTCTCTTCTGTAAGAATTTCACTAATGAACATCAATTTCTAAAAGACCAGCATGGACTATTTATTTCCTTTAATTCTTTGTAAAAAGCATATCCAGGTGCATATGCAAGTTGATTCATTTTCTAAGTCAGAGAAGCTTGAGATTGAGCATTCAACTGTAGCTACACCAAACACAAGCAAAATCATACTTGACAATTTATTTGTGTACAGTCAGTAAGTAATGAAACTGTGTATAATTAAACTATAGCTGGGCTGTTGCTGGTGAGGAAAAGTAAAAACTGGATTTCGTGATGAAGCGTTACCAAGGAAGGAGACTATGCAAACGCGTAACTACTGCCCATTTCACAATGGAGCTCTAATGTAACTTGAGTAGTTTAAACGAATGATGTGTTTAAGTAATGCCAGCTACAGAGCCGTTACAGTGCTCACCTCGCTTTGCCCAAGACACAAAATGGATTCAGATTTTAGGTTTAATTTTAGGAAAGAGAGAATGACACCAGAATTCAGTATTTCTGTCACTTTTCAGACCAAAGCTATTTTAAAGGAAGCTTGCAACCTTAAAATCAATCATTGTTACAGTTTCTCTTGCACTTGGTTGTGTGTTGACCCAGTCTTTTCAAGTTTTTTGCTTGAATAAAGAACTGGAAAGCAGCAGAAGAGAGGTGAATGCAACGTGGATATTCTATTACAATGAGGGTATTAACTTTCAGTGTGCTACTTTTTAGTTTGGTTAGCAGTAGGTTTTTTGCACTGAGAAGATTTATTGTGAGGGCACTAATTTCTCTGATTTGAATAACCAAAAGTTAAAATTATTATTTAAAAAAATTGCAGGTCTCTAGATTGAACTTTCTTGAATTGAGACTCTTTCATTCCAAACAAACCTTTTAAACACTTCTAGTAAACATAGCTGGTCATCAGCGAACAGCTGGAGGGTCCTGTGGAGCCATGCGCCTCTCGTATCTTGACAGTGTTGGCATTCCGTGGTTTATTTTACTATTTTCAGGCTTAATGAAGAAAGCCATAATAGAGGATTTAAAATACCTGGGTAAATAGCTATCTGATCTCTTTGATTAGGATCAAGAGGACCAACTGCCATGTATGAAGCTAGTAATGAGAGAGGAGAGCTGAGTTCTGATAGATTAACTGATCCCCACAGGCCACCGTCGGATACTGGATCCCTGTCTCCTCCTTGGGACAGAGAACGCAGGATAATTCTGCCTCCACCAGGTATAAAAATCTTCTTAGCTACTGCATCTATGGAAAATGAAGTTACTGACTTGCAGTGTAGATATTTAAGTATTTTTTGCTTAAAAATGTGAAATGTTTTCTTGGAACTGCATGTGCAACTGCACTGGAAAGATTTTTTTTAATAGTAGTTTTTTCCCCTTCTTGAATAATGCGGTCCACTTGTGCTTGTTCTGCGCTGTCTTTTAAACTATAAACTGGTACTAGCTGTGTACAATCCACTGCTCGGTTTCATCGTTTCACTGGGGGTTTGTTTAGTGCATCAAAAGACCTGTCTGGGCTGGATAAGTAGTAAGAGATCTGAGAAAGTAAAAAACTTTAATGATACATTGGCCTCAAATAAAAAAATAAAAGCTAGCTAATGTTGAAAAATACTGTGTTTTTCAAAAAAACATTTATATTGATAGTACAGGAGTACCATGGTACAGTCATTCTGTTCAGTACCTATTTTCATGTTGATGCTGCCTCTTTGATAATAACAACAAAATCGGTCTTCACTGTCACTACTTCAGCTAAACATCTGTGTTACACATTACTACTCCAGGAAGACAGAGATTAGTCAAAGAGGATAGTATTGATATTTCTTAGGTAAACAATGCAGGGAGAAGGATGACCTTCCAGTATACCTGTGATAAATAAAGTTAAAAGTTTAAAAAAAAAAAAAAATTAGGTGAAGTACACAGATCAAAGTACCTCAGTTAGATGCAGCAAGTGGTATCATAGTTTCTACACATCTGTCTGAAAGCCTGCTGATAAAACTCAGTCTTCTCAGGATGCAGTTTCTCATTTGCCAGGTCCATGTATTGGCAGAATACTGCAGAAGTGGTCTTGTTTCCTTGAGCTCAGCTGTGTTCTTACCCCGTCTTTGCACTTGGATCTCACTGATACAGTTGGTCTTTGTAGCTGCTTGTTGGTTGCTAGGGCTGATGCAAGGAAGTTGGTGGAAACACATTACAGCTCTATGAAACATAACAGAAAACACGCTCTTATCTAGGAATAGTCTTTGACCTTCATTGTTATGCTGAACCTTTGTTTCAAGGCCCCACTGTTTAAAACTTAGGCAATCATAACTTTCAAAATTCTACTGTATGTTAAACCAAAAATCAGTCAACTTTTCTCTTTTGCAGCTCCTTAGAAACATAAACTGTAGTACATACCTGGTGGAGTTCCTGTGTTTGGGTTTTTTTAAGATTTGTTTTCTCACCCTGACTAATAGTCACTTTGGATATGTACACGAGCGTAAGATATCCAGAGAATTTGCTGGTCTAAAATTGGATGGAATGGGTGGAATAAATCTTCACTGACCTGCTTTGTGATTTCTTCAATGTTAGGTGAGCCTTACACTGATCCAGTTCTTCCTCCTCGAAGACAAGAAAGATTTTTTCCTAATCCTCCAAATACTGGAAGACTTTCTGGACCAGCAGAACTACGAATTTACAACATGCAATCTTTCGATAAAACAGGTGAGAATTGCTTGCATGATACTATCAAATGGAGAATCTCAGTACAGGTTGGCTATGTGTAGTAAGCCATGGGAAGAGGACAACTTTACAGCTACCACAGATCTGATGTTTTGTTGTGTGAAAACAATTTAACACCAGCTAGCCTTGATGCAGTCTTTCCCTGTGATCAACAATAGCAGTCTCCTCTGTCAGGTGGGTGGGATTCAGTGAATCACAGAACGTTAGGGATTGGAAGGGACCTCTGGGGAGATCTAGTCCAACCCCCCTGCCAGAGCAGGTTAGCCTAGAGCAGGAGGCACAGGATGGTGTCCAGGCGGGTTTTGAGTATCTCCGGGGAAGGAGACTCCACATGGCCAGCCTGTTCCAGGGCTCTGCCACCCTCAATGTAAAGAAGTTTTTCCTCATGTCGAGGCGGAACTTCCCGCGCTACAGTTTGTGCCCGTTGCCCCTTGTCCGGTCACTGGCCACCACTGAGAAGAACCTGGCCCCATCCTCTTGACGCCTGCTCCTTAGATATTTGTAAGCGCTGATAAGGTCCCCTCTCAGTCTTTTCTTCCTCAGGCTAAAGAGCCCCAGGTCTCTCAGCCTCTCCTCGTAGGAGAGATGCTCCAGCCCCCTCATCAGCTTTGTAGCCCTCTGCTGGACTCTCTCCTGTAGTTCCCTGTCCTTCTTGAACCGGGGGTCCCAGAACTGGACACAACACTCTGGATGTGGCCTCACCAGGGCAGAGTAGAGGGGGAGAATAACCTCCCTCGATCTGCTGGCCACACTCTTCTTAGTGCATCCCAGGATACCATTGGCCTTCTTGGCCACAAGGGCACGTTGCTGGCTCACAGCCGACTTGTCTGCCAGGACTCCCAGGTCCTTCTCCGCAGAGCTGCTCTCAGCAGGTCGACCTGCAGCCTGTACTGGTGCGTGGGGTTATTCCTCCCCAGGTGCAGGACCCTACACCTGCCCTTGTTGAACCTCAGGGTAGTCATGAGTTTTTTGGGGGTTTTTTTGTCCACCTTCACTGTTCTGTATGTTAACCATTCAGGATTGGCCTTGAGTCTGTTTTGGTCCTTCCCATGGGGCTCACCACAAACCCTTACGTGCATTTCCATGCCACATTTGGTAAAGTTAGAGTCAGTAAGACTGAAAGAATAACAGCAAAATTTTTAAATATCCACTGGCTTTGCGTACTGAAGGAGCAGGTCCTGTGGTCTCCTCCTTCAAACTGTTTACCGTACTTGCAGCTTTTTGTAGTTCACAGTGCAGTTGCCCCCAGATTCATCACACATTTCACTAACCCAAGTGCCATTTGTTTTAAATTGGCCAATTATGCAAATTCTAGTTTGTGATACTTAGCAACAGCCAGAAGCTCAGAGGCAAAGTTTTGGTGACTTAAACCTTATCACCGAAACAGTTTAAGAGCTTAAAGCCTTAATACTTAATAAGCAGTTTTCATCCTTATTTAATGCCTAGTGGATCACTAGGCTGAAGCCATTAAACTCAGAACAGAAACTTTGCCACCCAGTATGCAGGTGCTCATATGGTTAGTGGTAAGTTACCATCTTTGTTGCCTGGTTTCTGGCAACAGGAGAGAGAACCTTTGTTATTTGGTGTCAAAATGTGAGAACCGTGAACGCTGAATCCTGTTTCCGGTTGAAAGTTCAGGTTTTACAGGGACTTGTTCTCTACTGGAAGACAATTCTGTTCCTGCACAGCCACTCACCTTCCTACCCCTGCTCCCAAGCCTCTCTCTGTTTCACTTTTGCTTTCTAATACTTTGTGTTCCACTGGGGTCTTTCCTCTAGCACCTGGACACTGACTGAAGGGCAGGAGAGTGCGCTGTCTTTGCATTCACGTATTGCATCCACTTTTACCCTTTTCTTCAGCTGCTGGCAAGCAACAGTTAAAAAACTTTGGCCCAAGACCTGAATACAGCTTTTACATTCAAAACCTGCTTAATGTACACAGGGTTTTGGATGACCTTGCTGCCAGCATTTAGCAGGTCATTAGGCATATGTGTACATTGCTTTTTAGAGGCGTATAGTTTCCCTAGACTTGGGTAAGTATTTGTCAAAATAGCCAAAAACCTCCAACAAATTAAAGAAAACCCACCCCATCCAGCACTTACCATCTGACCTCAGAACAGCAATGTGTTTCACAGGACTGAAATCCAGGCTCCAACTCTAAAGAGTGAGTGTGCTATGCTTCCTCAGCAACGTGATTGGAATGTTATTTAAAAGTGAACAAAATAACGTGCATTTTCCTAAGCTGGGGTGGCTGACTCTGCAGAGACTTTCAACCTGAGGCAGGTACCTGGAACAGGAAACTTTATGTCAGAAAGAAGGGCTAGAGCTAGGCAGAGTTTGGGAGTGACTTCACAAAGATTTAAGATGGAAAATGTAAGCAGCCTAAGTATCAAGGCGTGAATACTCTCTGTGTGACACAAGCGGTTGAAATGCTTCAGATTGTGAAGTAACAGTATCTTCAATAAAGACAGGGCCTCCTTGAAATGGCAAATGAGTTGGGTGTTTGGAAAAGACCTGTTCATTGAGAAAAGAGTGAGTTTGTTTCAAAAGAGAAGAAATACAGGGTGTAGATGAAAAATCTGTCACTTGTTAGAAGTGCTTTAGTATTGTTGTCTTTATTCAGGCAGAAGTGTAAGAACAGTATTTTTCAAATTTCAGGGGCCATTTTTTGCATTTTTTTTTTTTTTAAGAAAGGAGTACGTTCAGTGTATGTATTTAATATATTTATATCCAGTCAGATTCTCCTCTGACAATTCCCTTTAATAGTTTTCTGCAGTTGTTACTGGAAATACTTGTTCTCAGGGAAGTACAAAGGTAAAAATACTGAAGTTCCTATTTATCTCTTAATTCATAATGTGCATACAGCAAAGGCAAGGATGATTACTCTTATTTCTGAATGCTCATCCAGAACTGATGTGATTCTGAAAGTCTCCTTGATGTTTAGCAACTAAGAAAGGAGCTGGGTTTTGTCAGACTTGACTAGGATTGCTGTCGAGCTCTACCAGGAGTGTATCATAGCGCAGCCATTGCCAGAATGGGATTTAGCAAACAAATAAAGTGTTAGCAGGAGGGAGGGGAAAAGGGAACTGATGAAGTAGTGTTAAGATGTATCATTAGGAAAATGCACTTGTCACTTCTAAAAAAAACAAAACAAACAAAAAAAAAAACCCAAACAAAAAACCAAACAAAAAAAAACCCCAACAAACTAAAATGGAAGAAAAAGCTTTATTTGGATACAAGAAACTCTGGTAAAAGCTGCAACCTTGTGAGTCACATGCAATGTGTACAGAAAGTGTAGAAAATACTCAGGCATAGCTTTGTGTTGCTCAGTTGTCTTTCAGTTTGCCTGCAGAATAGTTGCTTGGTACAACAATGCTGCTTTTTTTTTTCTTGCCTGTATATCCTGATGTCAGAAAAAATACTGAAACTGGCAGAGAGGAGGAGTTCAGCACTGAATAACTTGTTTAACTTTTGCATACAGATGGACAAATATCTTCAGAAAACAGCCCACGAACAGAACCAAGTGGAAATGGGATGAAAGATCATTCTAACCTTAGTGTAAGTAGCTAAACAGAAACTTGACTTAAAGAAGCTTTAATTTCCTGTGAAATATTTAGGAAAATCTGTCTCTGGTACATTGGTCACGTTACGTTGCCCTGTGCAGTCCAAATTATAAACTTACACGTATATTTTTATCACAGCACTTAGTGTCTTGTGAGTTAGTTTTGATGTATGACTAACGTGATCCTTGCTTGAAAATTAATTACGACCGCAAAGTGCACGCAGCCAGCCTTGCTCAGGATTATGCTGGAGCCCAGGCAGAGTTGGAACTGGCGATATTCCCTCTTCTTAGCCCTTTCCCCGATTTCATTGTGTTGCAGAACTCGCTACCTGATCAGCCGCTGGCATCCGAAAGTGAAGCCGTCTGTTCAGGGCTTGCTCCTCCCCGTTTCCCTCCCGTCCGACCTCCGTTGATGCCTGTGGATCCTAGAGCACCTTTCATGAGACGAGGACCTCCTTTTCCTCCCCCTCCTCCTGCTGGCATGTATGGGCCACGTGAATGTTTCCCCGTACGAGACTTCGGGCTTCCGCGCCCTCCACTGCCAAGTACGTAGCTTTTGCCAGCGCTTCCTTTGAGCGGGTGAACACGAGTGCTTTGGGCAGGTAGCAACTCACCACGCTGGGTGAACACTTACATCTTCATCTGTGCCTGCTGCTTCTCAATTCAGCTAGCAGGGAGCACCTTTTCTGGTTAAGGTTCATTGCGTTGTACGCTTCCTTTTCCACTGTTGCTCATGCAGGTAATGTTTTTACAAATACTGGCTTTGGCTGGAAAATACATGCACACACACTGTTCAGCATTTAAAGGTTCTTTTTTGGAGTAGGAAAGCAAGTACATGCTTACCTTAATCCTTTTCCCCCTAGAGGTTGCATCATACAGGAATCTTAAAGTTTTGTCCTTTAGCTTTGAGGTGTGCTAGTGTCTATGCCAAGGCATGCGTTTGGGACATACCTCTTCAGTGGTTTTAGTGGAGCGAGATGTATCAGACTGAAGGGCTTCTTTCTGCCTCCTGCTGTGCTCTGACTAACCTGTGGGGAACAGGGCTGTTTAGCTGTAAGGTACGACAGCCAAGGGCTCTGCAGCAGCAGCCCCTGAACCGCCAGTGACTGGCTGCTGCTGTGATCCTGTCGCAGGTAATGGCTGAGAAAAGGGGTCGCTTTGCAGCATAACCCCTAACCTAGGTCTGCTTCTGCTTCAGTAGACCGTTGCGGAGCACTAAGACACAGGGGGTGGGAGGAGCAGGTAAGTGTTTACTGTTGTGATGGATAGTAACTGGACTGCTCTGCTTCTCTCACAGTAAGAAATCCATTTCCAATGAGATCATATCCTCACTATCCACCTCAACGACCTGGATTTTTGCCTCCACCACCTCCTCCTGAAAACAGAGTTGAGCCCCCTCAGTCAAACCCAGCAGCTGTAGAACAACCAGAACCACAGCAGGAGACTTGACAGAGTCCTTTGAGCAATGTGCTGAACTCCCCTAATGGCATTTTTCCTTCTGTTAAGTAACCATTGTTACTTAGGTATATATAAACTACCTTGCTCAAATTGAAGCTTAATAGGAAATTCTCAGGATAGTATTTTGTAAATAAAGAATGAAGTAACTATGAATATTGTGAATAAGTAATTCTCATTGTACAATAGTCATTTTAAATTAAGTATTTCTAACTTGAGTAATCTCTTCAGAGGTGTATAAAATTAAGTCATGAACAGTATTTTAAAAGTCCAGCTGCTTGGTCCTTGTTTAGCTGTACAGAGGATCTCTCTGCATGCCAAAACTGGTGTTTGCTGCTTTATGAATAGAATGTGAAAACAAACTGAAACAGTTAATAAAAGTCTACTGAAAATGAAAGCAGTGTCACTGTTAATGTGGTACGATGGAAGCAGCTGAAGTGAAGAGGAAGTAGTGTCATTCCCTATCATGTACATACTCTGTTAACAACCTCAGAGGTAAACTGGCAGCTGTCCTGCCACTAGTGGGAGGGAAGGGGAAGTGGAAATGTAGAGCAACTCTCCCATCGCTCTTCAAAACCGATAGCATGGGGCTGTGTTTTATTAAAGAGGTGTATGGGGGGGTTTTGATGACATGGGAGGAAGGAGTCACACAGCTCCCCTGCCACTAGTGGGAGGGAAGGGGAAGTGGAAATGTAGAGCAACTCTCCCATCGCTCTTCAAAACCGATAGCATGGGGCTGTGTTTTATTAAAGAGGTGTATGGGGGGGTTTTGATGACATGGGAGGAAGGAGTCACAGCTCTGTGATGCTTCAGCAGCCCCTGACCCTTCCCTCTGAAGGTGCATGGCTGCAGCAAACACTAAGGTTTTTTTAATTCAAAAAAACAACCAAACAACCACCACTTTCCAATTCCATCATCAACTCTGACATCAGAAAACACTCTGCATTTATCAACAAAATGGCCACCTAAGCTGGGGCAGGAGATTTCTGTGAGCATGCTTATCCCAACACCACCTAGCACAGATAATTAAAACTGCAAGGCAAGGTAGAATTATTTCTTGTCTAGAACAAGCACAGAAGCAAGTATACCCACCGCACTCAGCAACAAAAGCAGTCAAGACCGTGCTGCCACAGCAAACATTTAAGAAACCCAAACAAACAGAATTTTAGGCCCTTACTTATGTTTTGTCGCAAGCGCTAGGCTTCACAGAAAGGCAGGGGCAAATGGCAGCACTGATGATTTTGTGCCTATAAAAGCAGTTGGTGCATTGTCTGGTCCGCCTCTTCGCCTGGGGTCACTACGTGCTGCTTCCCTCTCAGCAATGGCCACCCCAGCGGCCACATTGCACTTACCTGCAGGCAGGGCCCGGCCTTTCAGTGCCGCACGGGATCTGGGCAGAGCCTAGCGCCACGCCTGCCAGCGCTGTGCCACCTGAAGACTCCTGCTAGAAGCTGCCGGCTCTTCTGACGCTTTGGCTTTGGCTCCAAAGCCCCATAGTGACCCACAACACAGTCAATAGTCAGGGACCCTTTAAGATACAGGAAGGAACCCATCCTAGACAAGGCCCCGCTAGCAGAAGCAGCAGCAGGCAGCTCAGCTGCCATCCCCCTGCTCTGCGCATGCACACACACACACACACACACACATGGGTTCAGCCTTTACTGCAAATCTTTGGCTTTGGCTCCAAAGCCCCATAGTGACCCACAACACAGTCAATAGTCAGGGACCCTTTAAGATACAGGAAGGAACCCATCCTAGACAAGGCCCCGCTAGCAGAAGCAGCAGCAGGCAGCTCAGCTGCCATCCCCCTGCTCTGCGCATGCACACACACACACACACACACACATGGGTTCAGCCTTTACTGCAAATGCAGCCACCGGAACCCATCCTAGACAAGGCCCCGCTCGCAGAAGCAGCAGCGGGCAGCTCAGCTGCCATCCCCCAGCTCTGCGCACACACACACACACACGGGTTCAGCCTTTACTGTAAAAGCAGCCACCACACCCCATGAAAAAGCCTCCAGCCCACTTTTTTTTTTTTGTAATTGCTTAGGTCAAGTCTGCCAAGTGAGCTTTTTCTTTCACAGCTCAGTACTCCTGCTCTTATTTCCAGAGGCCTAGTGCAGCTGCAGAACTCTTCCATGGCTCCTTCCTGCAATTGCCTTATTCTCCTTCCGACTTCCTGTTTGGTCTCCCAAGAGCCTTTATCTAAGCCTATCCTTGAATGGATCCAGCACAAAAAACTTGCAACAACAGACATTTTAAAGCATCATCCATGTTAAATTGGTTTAACTGCTGTTGAGTTTAATTCAGCGATTGCATTGTTTTTAGCCAATTAGTTGTTTTCTGAAGGTTCTAAGTTTGCCTGAGAAAGACTTCACCAGGATCCTAAAAGGAATGACTCAGTTTTACCCTTGCCCTTGATATCAGTCCTCAAACAACCAGAGCTGCCAGCCATCAGCTTGCCCTGTACGTAGAACCAGTGGATAGCACTGAGGTCCTCAGTTCGGTAATACCACCACCCTAAGAACCCTTTCTCCAGCTCACCTTAAGGGTTGCAAACTACTTATGAATGTAACTATTTTCTGAACAAATACAGTCTTTTCTCTGGATAGGTTAAATATTTGTTCTAGCTGGTAACTAAGTTAACCGACTGCAAAACCGATTCTTCCCCCACCAGAACAATTGGCTCCATGCCCACAGTGATGCTGCAGGCCAAACACAAGTTACCTGGACTGAGGTAGTGTGGGACAAGCATGGATTAGATGAGCCTGCAGAGTGAATGGAATCATTTCAGACCTTTTTTTTTTTCCCCTCCACCAGCAATAGCCCAAAATTTTATTTGCAGACAAGCAAATCAAAATCACGCTCAGGTGTCTGCAATAGGAAGCAGGGTGCAGTAACCCGACAGATGTATTTCAGTATGTTTAACTGAGAAGGGTCACACAAGTGCGTACGCGGGGAAGTCCCTGTTCCCCCAAAAGAAAAAGCAACTCAGTTTTAACAATCAAGGGCTTGTATTCCAAGCTCCTGCTGCTAAATCTAGAATGTGGCAAGACTAACTTGACATCACTGTCTTTTTAGGAAAAAACAAAGAGAAACAAACAAACAAAAATTTAAAAACCCATCTGGGATCGTGCAAACTCAGAGTAATCCCACACAGTTTGTAAGGTCCCACTCCAAGCGCACCTCCCCCGTTAGGGCCACCTTAGATTCCTAAGACTTGACTTAAAATGGTCTCAGCTTGAATCCCTTCATCCTGGTATCACCAATTCAGATTATTGCTAAAAATACAAACATAGAACAAAACCAACTTTTATTTATTTCTACGCCATCGGAACAACGAGAGGCGTGCCTCTCCAGCACCGCTCAAGGTGTGGGTTTCACCACACCCTCACGCCTCACTGGACTCCCTATTCTTGTAAGGAAAGACTGTAGAAGTCTGTCTGTTTTCAGCACACTGACTTCGTACCTGGAACGCAAGCCATACGCAGCGATCAGACTTCAGACTGCACGAAAAAACCCAGCCCCGGAGCACTAACAGCAGATCTGCTGACGCAGCCTGCACCAAACCCTGCGGCCGTAACCGCAGCCGGTGAGGGACTGCGCTTCTCTCTACCACAGTCAAGTGGCCTGTTTCTCTGCTCGTCATCTCACCTTTCAAGATTAAGTTAATGAAAAACAAAGCAGAAAATAGGTTAGACTAAGAGAGAAACACATTTATTTAACAGAAAGGTAAACAAGTTACTTTCCAACTGTGTTAAGTAAGGCAGTTATCCACAGAAACACATTAGTCTGCAGAGATAAAATAACACCCTGCAACTCTGTTTAAACCAGAAGACATAGCATTCGCTTCAGGAAGTCATGCAGAAAAAGTCAGAAAACTTGATCACACTATGACCAAATTTAAGGCCCAGATGATGCTGAACAACCCCCACCAGATTTAACTCTGCATAAACCTCCCTCCTGAGACTGAGCCCCGAAAGGCACCAAGACCAAGTCCCGTCATTTCATTTTACCGCAATATGAAAAGCTGTAACTGTATTTACCATGTCTTTATTGCCCACAGCAGCCCTTCCGTAAGTTAGCAAACGATCTTGCTTACCAAACCTCGCAGATCTAGGGGACCACGCAACCGACCAACAGGGCAGCTCTCACGCCAGGTAGCGGCTTGGACCATCACAAAGTGCGGTGCAGAAGCTGCCAGTAAATCCGTGCTCGGCACGCGCACACTGACCAGCCACTCCGGCAGCTCGCACGGCACAACCAGCCCTTGCAGGGCCCGGCAGCCCTCCGACAGCTCACCAGGCCTCTGCAGCTCTCATTCAGAATGCACAGCTGGGGACTCCTGAGTACAGATAAAACGTCAAACTGAAGCGTTGCAGGTATTCAGAATCTATTTAATAGTGGGACACCAAAGAAGTACTACACATTTTGCTTGAGCACATTAGATTTTGATTTAAGCAATTGCAATGGATGCAGGAATTTCTCAAAAATAGTCTTCTATATTCTACAATCCACAGTTTACTGTATCAGTCTAATAAGTCATATCATGATATACTGTTTGTGCCAACTGGTCTGATCGTCTGATCAGCAAAGCATCCTTCCCCTTCCTCCACCCCTCAAAAAAAAAAAAAAACCCATTGACATAATTCAGCCAAATTAAAAAAAAATTACTGTACGACTTATTTTAGACTCTTTTGTTGACCTAAACACAACGGGAGCTACCAGTTATACACAGCTTATGAACGATGTTGCGTTTTAATCCTAAAAATCTTCATGCTGATACAATAAAATATTTTATACAGCGATCAATTTTTAATGCTTTATTCATTGATTAAAAGAATATACATTTAACATAAACCATACAACATCAGTCATCAATTCAAACATTCAGCTGGTTTCCTTACATTTTCTGTCAGGAGTTTTTTTTTATCTGATCACATTTATAAGGTAAAATCTCACCACATCTGGCATATACACACACTGTGCCAGTGGATTCACTCTACTGATGTACATATAAAATCCGCATGGTATGTGCTCACTGGAGACAAAACAGCGCACACCTGTCAAAAGGTCATTTTAATATAAGATGGTAAAACCATTTGTAAAACACATATAAACTTTTTCCATAAATAGAATCATATCT